CCCAAGAACCTGGAACTACAGGCACCTGCCACAACACTTGGCTAGTTTTTCTATCCTTAGTAGAGATGGGGTCTCACTCTTGCTCATTCTGGTCTCAAACTCCTGAGCTCAGGCTATCTACCCAGATTAGCCTCCCAGAGGGCTAGAATTACAGGCATGAGCCATGGAGGCCAGCCTGGTTTCTATTATTTGTAATTAAGATCCCAAATGGAGGGTGGCGCCTGTGGCTCAGCAGATAGGGTGCCGGCCCATATACTGAGGGTGGTGGGTTCAAACCTGGCCCCAGCCAAACTGCAACAAAAAATAGGTGTTGGGGCAGGCGCCTATAGTCCCAGCTACTCGGGAGGCTGAGGCAAGAGAACTGCTTAAGACCAAAAGAGTTGGATGTTGCTGTAAGCTGTGATGCCACAGCACTCTACTGAGGGCGACAAAGTGAGACTCTGTCTCAAAAAAAAAAAAAAATCCCAAATGGACACAAACCAAAATGCCTAGCCATACGGCTTACATCAACAAGTGTGCTAAAGCGCAGGATGGAAGGCTGCGAAAGTGGGTACAACGATAAGTGTGTACTTGCCGACGTGGAAAGAGGTCCACAACATGCATGTAAGTGAGAAAGCGGGTTTTAAGAAAACAGTATGTGTGGTGTGATGCCATGTTTGCATAATACATTTTCTATATATTCATAGAAAAGGGCCTACAAGAAAATGTAACTATTCTGGAAAGGAAGATGGCGGATGATTTTACCTTCACTTCCTGATCTTCCTACAATGTTTGCATAGGGAGTTTTCCTTTTTTAAAACTAAGTGCACGTAGGTCACAGGATTCCCACTTTCATGCTGTCCATCAAGAACTCAGCCACTTGTTTACACGATGGTTCCTGCCTTGGGGCTGCTTACCAACACCTCTGCTCCAGAACATTCTGGGGGTGTCTGAGTCTCCCAAACAAGGAGGAAGTGCTTCCCGTGCCCAGGGCCCCAGCAACATCATCCACTTACTCTCCCGGCAACCCTGTGAGGTGGAGGTTCTCCCTCTGCTGATAGAAAGTAAGAGCCCAGAGAGGTGAGGTGACCTGCCTGGGTTCACACAGCAAGGAGTCAAAGCCGGGTCAGCTGACCTGGACTAAAGTTTATGAACAGAGCCCAAACCTGGCAGCTGAGCACAAGGAAGGGCTCAACATTCCCCTGTGGTTTCAGCTGTGAGGACAAGCCGCAAACACGCTGGGGGTGTAGGGAGGGGCAGCTCTGCCTCAGTGCGGGGGCCCTGGAGAAGCAGGCAGTGGGCCCTGGAGGCCGGATGGGGGTCCACGCTGGGGAGGCACGGTCTTCTGCTCCTTTTTACCTCCTTGGTCTTGGCTTGACAGTCACCTGTCCAGAGAGATCCTCCTTGACCTCCTGAAGCAGGCCCTGGCCATTCCTGCCTCAGCGCCATTTGTCTCCTTTGTGGCATTTCCTACACGGTGCAGCCACTGCACTTAGCTGTCAGTTTACATAGGACCTGCCTCTCCCCACCCACTTCAGGCTTCTGTCTGTCCCCCTCTCAGCTGTGGCCCTCGCCTCCAGCCTGGTGTCTGGCCCACTGCAGGCACTTACCAAGTATCTGCTGACTGATGGAGCAGATGCGCACGCGGCTAGGTGGCCTGCGGACTGCAGGAGCCAGGCTCGGCTCTGCCTTTTCCTGGCTGTGTCACCAGAACACCAGTTGCTGTTCTTCACTGGGCTTCTTGCAAATCTCAACTTCAATATAAATACGAACTCCACCTGAAGGATGGGCCACATACTTCCTGGATATGTTAGGACCAATTTAAGGGAAGATATGTGGGTCAGTCCAAAAATTTTGACACAGACTGTGACATGGTCCATTATTTCACTTTCAAGAAACACAGTTGACAGCGTCCTTTCTGCTCGGCTTATTGGTGTGGCTTCATTTGTTTCAAATTGTCTGCACAGATTTGACGTTTCTTGATTTTTGTATATCCCAAAACTTTCCTAATGACCCACATAATAGAAGTTGAAATTATGTGCTAAATCTTACCTTAAATCAACTATGGGTAGATTATTCTTTCCGATGGTAACATTGCAATGATTTTCCCTGGAGTCACTGATATGCAATGAGCCCAATCATGTTTCTTATTCAATAAATTCTTTTATTCTAGTTCACAGATTTCTCCATTACAATAATGAAAATAGCACTAGTGATTTGTAACACGTAGGCCCAAATCAAAAGGGACACCCTCCTCAAATTAAAAGGTAAATAACACATAGCTGGACATGGAGTAAATGTGGGGCAAAAGGCATTTAAAATATAGATAATGGGGTCAAGATTTGGTGGGTGTATTTATCAGGATAACACTGTTTTAGAAAGCACATGATTTTGAAAACTAAATAATTATGACAAAACTCAGTTGTAGAGAAAAGGCAAAATCAAGCAAAAACAAAACCCCCCCAAACAAAAGGAAGCAAATCAAATATGTGGGTAGATATGCAAACCTCCGGTCCTTTGGCCCTGGAATGGCAAGTTGAGTGGGCTTCATAAAATTCTCTATAGAAGGAATGTCTGGGCCTATTGTGACCATGGCCCTTATCTGACACTGCTGCATCTCCAAGTCCAGACTCCTCACAGAGGAAAAGTTGCTTGTCTGACACATCTGCTCGGGGTCTACCCGAGATGGGACCTATGTTCCCAATCCCTTTGAACTGTGTGACAGTCCCAAATCCCCAAAAGACAAGGCATCCCTGTGGCGGCAGGGAGATGGGGTCACTGCCTACCCTGTGTCCTGCCAGAGCTGTCTGAGTGGTTCACAGGGAGCGGGTGGGCCTCAGTGTTGAACACCCAGTCTTCCAGGGAGAGCACGTCATCTTCAGAGAACAGAAGATAGAGATACCTGTACTCCAGGCAGGGCAGGGAAGCAAGACAGCCTGTCAGTATCCTGGGGAAGAAGGGTGGACCATGGGGATGCATTTCAGGGCCTCTGTGATGGGCCTGTAGCTAAAACAGGGAGACTTAGACCCCAAGACTGCTTGGAGGACTCCTGGGGAAGGACACTGCAGATGAAGAAGGCCTTGAGCTTTCAGGTCAGAGGGATCTGATTTTACCTGGCTCGTCCCCAGTCTGCACATGCAGCCCACTTCACCTGCCTGGCCCTATGTGTGAGCCCTGCCAGGACCTACGTTCTCCTTCTTTGCAGCGTGACTGCATGAGTCCCTCCAGGAGACTTTTCTGGCCCAGTGCGTGTTACAGCACTAACACGAACAGGATTTTTGACTCTGGAACCCCAGCATCCAGGCCATAGGGATTCCTCCCTTCCTCCCTCCCTTCCCTTCTTCTTTTACTGAAAGGAACAAACCATTCCAACCCATCCTAAAGGGTTAAAGCACAAAGGGCTTGCTTGGGGGAATAGCCAGGAAGTGGGGTAGCCAATTCCCACCCCAAGAAAGTGAGGGAGGGATGCAGCAGCAACACTGCTGGGCCCCGGGAGGGAAACTATCACCATGATCACTGTTCCCATTTTGCAGGTGAGGACACAGTTTCAGAGAACTTAGGTAAACAGCACTGTCACAAAGTTCATACTCAGCGGGACTGGATTCCAGCCCAGCCTCCTCGCTGAGTGGAGACATTGGCGTGGCTCAAGGCTCAGCCCTGGGGTGTAACCCTCTGGATCCTAAGCCCTCTGTCCCTCTTGAGTTCCTATCCTGTGATTGCAGAACCTAACTGTAGCTGAGGGGATGGACTGCAGACCTGTGCCCCACCCTTACCCTCTGACCCCACACTCTGCCCTTTCTGGAAAGAACACTGACCAGGTCCCAACTCACTTTAGTGTCTCCGCTAGAAAGAAGCTCTGCTGCTTGTTGTCGTGGTTGGGAGAGCTACTGTACACATCTTGGATCCCAGAGAAGCCGGCTTCTGTCCGACAGTATTTCTCCAAGGCCTGAAGGAAAGGTAGGCAGCCTTAGCAGGGAGAGAAAAG